ATAAATAAATATATATATATATATATATATATATATATATATATATATATATATATATATATATATATATATATATATATATATAAATTAGGTTAGATGTAGATAGATAGATAAGTACGTAATCAGAGAGATAGATATAGGCAGAGAAACAAATAGAGATAGCTAGAGAGAGAGAGAGAGAGAGAGAGAGAGAGAGAGAGAGAGAGAGAGAGAGAGAGAGAGAGAGAGAGAGAGAGAGAGAGAGAGAGAGAGAAAAGGAACAAGACAGACAATCATTAGTACGGCGCATTATCAAGATAATCGAAATGACAGACTCTATCAAGTGATTGTAGGCTTCCTCTAGGCTTCCAAAAGCTTAAAGGAGGTTCATCGTCTCCGGCATCGTAATCACAACCAACATCTCTATTACAGTTCCAAGTTCTCTTGACAGAAATATATGGGCGATCGTAATCTGTTTTTTTTTGTTGTTTTTTGTTGTTTTTTATGCAGAGATTCACTACCGTATCGTTAACTCATAATGTATTGTAAGATTTGCTCATTCAGTGTAAGTTCTGTTTATTCATCTAATTGTTTACTTGGTTACTTGTTTACTTATCAACTTGATTCATTTTCTAGGGATAAATTGCTAATGCAAATAAATCCATCAGTCTATACCCATTATAAAAAAAGGGACATCGCAATGAAACAAACCCAAACCGCCCACCGACGCCTTCCCCCCCCCCCCTTCCAACGCCCCACACCCCTTGAAGACGCCCACGCCCACGCCCACGAATTCGACCTGAGGAAGATAAAATGGGCGTCGTATTGCAAGATCCAAATCAAAAAGGGAGAATTGGTGAGCGCAATTCTACGACCTGCTGGGGAGGAGGCACGGCGCGGGGAGGCCTTTTGGGTGGGAGGGAGGGAGGGAGGGAAGAGGAGACGAGGGAGGGTAAAGAAGGAGGAAGGTAGAAGAGGGAGATAGAAGATGGATGAAAGGAGAAGAGAGAGGTAGAAGAGGAAGGGAGAAGAGGGAGAAAACGAGAGGGGAAGGAGAAAGAGGAGGGAAGAAGAGAGAGAGAGGAAAAGGGAGAAATGATCTGCGATCATTTCTCTCTGTCTCTCCCTCTCCCTCTTTCTTCCTCTCCCTCTCACCCTCTTCTTCTCCCCCCTTCTGCTCCGTTTGTCTCTCTCTAACCTCCCCTTTCCCCCATACTTCGCTGTTATTCTAACTTCTGTTTTTATTCTCTAGAGGAGAGGAGAGAGGGTGAGATAGAAAAAGAAGAAAAAACAGAAAGACGAGAGACAGAAAAAGAAGAGGAGGACAGAAGGAGAAGTAGAATGAGAGAGAAACAGAGGACGAAAGGAAAAGAAAGAGAGAAAGAAAAAAACCGAGTGAGATTTTGAAATCTACATCAGCTGAGGGGAAAAATACAAACATCTTCCGGTGTTCCCTTATCTCATCCTCCTGAAGCGTCGAGCGAGAGAGAACTGTTGCAAAATGTTGCTCTGGACACACACCCGTTAAAGCAACAAATAGCAAGTCTCATTAACGACGCACCTTTGCTCTCTCTCTCTCTCTCTCTCTCTCTCTCTCTCTCTCTCTCTCTCTCTCTCTCTCTCTCTCTCTCTCTCTCTCTCTCTCTTTCTCTCTCTCTCTCTCTCTCTCTCTCTCTCTCTCTCTCTCTCTCTCTCTCTCTTATTCTCTCATTATCATCTTTATCGCCTCACTATTTTCCCTCTTCCTCTTCGCCGCCGTCGGGTAAAACCACAGAGGCATAAACGAGGGTGATGGGAGGCGAGGGAGGGTGGAGGGAGGATAGAGGGAGAGGGAAGGGAAGGGAGGGAGGGAGAAAGGGAGGGAGGGAGGGAGGGAGGGAGGGACTGTGAGGGAGGGAGGGAGGGAGGGAGGGAGGGAGGGAGGGGAAGGGGAGGGTCATGTTGCACGTAATAAATCTAAAAGGAAACTAGTTCTTTGGGAAAAGTGCAGCTGATTTGTTGTTCCATCTGGGTGGTTCGGTGGGTGGGCGCGGCGGGGGGTGTCAAGAGGGCGTCGGTCTGTGGGTGGTTATCATGGGCGGGGAGATAGTTGTCTCGAAGGATGGGCGGCAGGGAGGGCAACTAAAAAAAAATAGAGATGGCTTTCCAGAGTGGACAGAGGGCGCGCGGGCGTGACACAGAGATCCCGTGGTCGTACAAGGTATTGGACCACGTGGGCGGGACTCTGTGGGCGTGATGGAAATCACGAGGAGCAAAATTAATGTACATTGCCTAATTCTCTGCGTCCATGAGGAGCGTAGATGATCTCACTCGGGATGGGGATGAGCGGGCGGGCGGGCGGGGTGTCCTAATGGGCGCACGCTGTATGTCTTCGTGGGCGCGCAGGCCTGTCCGGGGATGTGGCTTGGGTGGCCGCCCGCAACAACCCGGACTCGAGTCAACCGTGGCCACTTTAATGACTTAAAAATACGAAGTCTCGTTTTATGGCGCCTGCGATATAGTTACTTTTTTGTTTTTGTTTTTTTTCCTCTCTCTCTTGTCTTTTTTTTTTTTGTAAACGATGTTCTCCCTCGGTTCGGGTATTCGCTGGAGCGGCGTGGGCGTGGGTGGGCGGTGGGCAAATTGGGTGGCCAGGCGTTTGGGGCGCGGGCGTGGGTGAATGGGTGTAAGTGTGTGTAAATAAGTGGAGGTGGGTAAGTGCATCTGAATGAAGTGTAGGTTAGTAGGAATGGTGGGTAAGCAGACGCAGGTAAGTAGATGTGGGTAAATGGGTGTGGGTGGATGGCTTGCGTGTCGGTGGGTCAGAGTGAGCAAGGTGGGTGAGCACTGTGCGGGCGGAGGAAAGGCTGGATGGCTACGAGGGCGGTAAATGCAAAATGGTCCAAAAGAGAGGCGGGCAGCGAGCGAGCGAGAGAGAGAGAGAGAGAGAGAGAGAGAGAGAGAGAGAGAGAGAGAGAGAGAGAGAGGAGAGAGAGAGAGAGAGAGAGAGAGAGAGAGAGAAGAGAGAGAAGAGAGAGAGAGAGAGAGAGAGAGAGAGAGAGAGAGAGAGAGAGAGAGAGAGAGAGAGAGAGAGAGAGAGAGAGAGAGAGAGAGAGAGAGAGAGAGAGAGAGAGAGAGAGAGAGAGAGAGAAGCAAACAACTAAAGAAAGAAAGCAAGAGAGAGGAAAAAAGAAAGAGAACCGCATTACTTTTCTTCCTCTCTCCCGATCGCCTAAAACGAATACCACCAGCTACGTGCATCACACTTCCCCTCCCATCCTCCTCGCCGTTCTCCTACCCACCTGGTTCCTCTGGAGACGCCCACAGCGCCTATCACGTAATCAGCGCCTACGCCTGCAGCGCCCATCCATCAGCGACTGACTTATCTTCCACCATCTGCCAGCTCGCAGTGACCCCGACAAATTGTTGTTGTGACCGCCAGGGGGAGGCGCTATCCTCCCTTCTTCGCTCTATGCCTTCTCTCTTCCACGCCCCCATTCCTCCTTCTCTTCTTCTTCTTCCATCTCCCCGCCCTCTTCTTCTTTTATCTCTTTGTGTTTATCGCCTCCTTTCTTTCTTATCTTTTCCCTCCTCCTATTCAACCTTCTACCTCTTCTCACTTCCTTTCCTGTTCTATTTCTTCCTCCTCCTCTGCTTTGCTTTCCACCTCTTCAATTCTCCCTTAAAAGTTCAATCTCCTCTTCCTCTTCCTCCTCTAACTTTTTTCTACATCTCCTACTATTCCGCCTCCTCATTATTATATCTATTTCTTTTCTTTCTAGCGTAACATTCTTCTGTTATTTTCTATTCTTTTTATTTTCTTCTCATCTTCTCTTTTTACCCCTTTTTCCCCTGAATTTGCATACTCTAACCCGCGTCGACAGAATACCTTAATGAATTTCCTTTTTGAGTCATTCCAACGCTTGAGTCCTCATTCTCCGTTCCATGCATCTTCACTGTTCAGTTGGGCCCCAGAAGAGAGAGAGAGAGAGAGAGAGAGAGAGAGAGAGAGAGAGAGAGAGAGAGAGAGAGAGAGAGAGAGAGAGAGAGAGAGAGAGAGAGAGAGAGAGGGAGAGAGAGAGAGGATGCTTGCGGCCAGGTTCAGATGACACAGATAGCGTGGCCAAGGAGGGACACAGTGGAGGTGTGGGACCCCCTACGGAGAGGCCATCGTGCGACCTATCACAGCCTCAAGCCCCGTCGCCGCGCCGTTCGCCATACTGAATCTTATTACCCGATGCCCTAGAAGCGGGATTTCCACGGCACCTTCCCCGGAGTGCCTGCTATCCTCCGGCGGCGCAACGGTCATGGGGATATTTGTTCTCGGTGCTGCGGTGTTCTGTGTTCCCGAGTTAACCTCTGCCATTCGCTTCGGGTCAACCAGACAGATACGCGTTCATCCGATGCCAGAAGTGGCCATAGCTCTCTCCCACGCGCCCACGCCCACGCCCGACTCAAAGGCAACGCGGACGACTTCTTAGGGATCGGCGGGGCTCCTCGGGAGACACGTCGGGTGGCATGTGCAAGTCGATTGTCCCCCTGGCGTCTTACATCCTCGACTTAACGGAGATGGCAGGAGTTAATAATTTATGCACATCATATTAGTTTCTGGTTGCATAATTCTAATGTCTATTTTTACCCCTTTTGCCTTTTGGGGAAAATGGAAAGGAAAAGCAAAAGCGCTCAAAAGGCAAACCTTCCCTGGGGAAGGCCGTCTCAGGAGCCCCCGGGAGGCCAAGACGCCCCTCGGCCACAACCCCAGATGAAAGCCTCCACAACGCCGGCCATCCAGAGCTCGCGTGTCATTCGCCCGTAGGCCTAGAGGAAAGGATTAAGGCGCGGCCGATATGTGCTCCGGGTCCTTTGTGCTGGAGTGAAAGCGGATCGCCAACGCCATTCGAGGAAGCGAGGCATACACACGCGGGCTGACGGATATCCGTGGCAGGAAGTGAGAAATGTAGCCTAAGTGCACGCTACAACTGGCGTCGAGGAGCAGAGGCAAGGAATGCGACTACTGTGAAGCAACTGCGATGTACTGCACGCCAGCGGAGGAGGCAAGGAAGAGGAAGCCCAAAGCCCTCGACAGCGGCACCGGCTTACCTGGTAAGGGATGAGCGTGTTGTCGGCGGTCTCGGCGAAGGTGTGCGCCATGAGGAACATGTCGTCGACGCCGAGGCCCAGCGCCAGGAAGGGCAGCACCTGCGTCGTGGAGGCGTTGAAGGGCAGCCCGAGCAAGGCGCACAGCCCGAGGCCGGCGGCGACGGTGATGGCGACCAGGAGGACCCCCGCGAGGCCGAGCCCCGCCGCCGATCTCACCGAATCCGACAGTTTCGCGAGCGACAGGCACGCGTAGATCACCTGTCGGGGAGCAAGGTGGAGGCGATTAGCTTAGGTTAATTCATATATATCTTTGAATACTATAAAAAAAAACGTTAATACATTTTCAAATAAAGAAAAGTACAATCCCATTTTTTTTCCCAGATTGCAAAAGTTAGTCTAGCCCAGTAATTTCAAGAAAGTATTTGTTAAACAACTAAAATACAAACTCACCATGAATATGTAACCGAGGGCGACCCTGAAGGCGGGCACCTCGGAGAAGTCCCTGAGGAGATAGCCGAGGGTGGCGCTGGAGAAGGGCAGCATGTTGTAGCGGCGAGTTTCATTCTGAAGGCGCTCCGTCTCCGCCAGCACCTCCTGGGGGAGCACAGAGGGGAAATGTCTATGAAGAAGTGCCTGGTTATAGATAGATAGATAGATAGAGAGGGAGAGATTGATAGCCGGGTAATAACCATAAGAATCAGGGAAAGTTAATAGAAAAAGGTCACTCGAGGGGAGACTAGCCTAAAACACCGCTTGACCTCCCAAAGGGTCATCCATTGTTATCCAGAGGATCCGTCTGATAAAGTGAAATATTATATCGAACAAGCCTCGTCCGTCGATTTATTAGTCGATACCGAACACCAAGATAATACTGCCTCGCTAAAAGAAATTTTAAAATAAAAAAAAGATTGATGGGTAAACGGGGGGAGGGAGGGAGGGAGGGAGGGAGGGAGGGAGGGAGGGAGGGAAGGAGGGAAGGAGAGAGAGAGAGAGAGAGAGAGAGAGAGAGAGAGAGAGAGAGAGAGAGAGAGAGAGAGAGAGAGAGAGAGAGAGAGAGAGAGAGAGAGAGAGAGATAGAGCAAGAGATGAAAGAGAGAGAAGCAGAACTAAGGGCTTCATTAAGGGTGAAGGGCACAGAGACAGGTCTTCAAGGGTGAAGCTGGTAAGGGCTCGGGGTCAAAGGGTGCAAGGAAAGACATTCGATAGCTTAGCTGGTCCTTGAGCGTGGAGGGTGATGTAAGACGCACCCTAAACCCACCCTGCCTTTTCTGTTCGACCTCTGCCCACCACCTGCCCACCTAGAAAGCCCCGTTCACCCACCCACAGATTAATAGAAATCAGGAGAATGGGGAAAGGGGGGGGGGAGGGGATTTTTTTTTTCCTAAACAGATAAACAAAACTGGAGCTTCTGGCTTTTCTGTTTCATTCCGTGAGTTTCCCAATCCAGCAGCAGAAAAAAAAAAACAGAATAATAATAATAATCATAATAATGTTGATAGTAATGATAATAATAACCATAATAATGATAGTAATGACAATAATATTGATAAAAAGAACAAGAAGAAGAACAAGAAGAATAATGGTAATGGTAATGGTGATGGTGATGGTGATGATGATAACAATGATAAGAGCGAATGATAGAGAGGGAGAGATGGAAAGATAGAGAGAGAGAGACAGATAATAACGAAAATAATAGCAACAACAATAACAATAATACTAACAACAATAAAAACAAATAAAGATAATAATAGCAATAACAAAATAATAGCGACGACGGAGGTGACGATACAACAAGAATAACGATGAACCACGAGTGACGCTCTGGTATTTCTGCGCTGGTATGACTCGATTTTTGCCACCTGTCGCTTCCCACGCGCATACCAGAGTACCACCGCCCAGCCGCCATCTTGTTATCATTAATTACTGTGAATGTTTAAGCCGGCGATAATTACTGGGATTGAGAGAAAGAGAGAAGTAACGTAAATTAATATGTAGGATAAGAATGAGGATGTGGGTGAGGGAGGGAAAGGGGAAGGGGAAGGAAGAGAGAGAGGCAGAGGATGAGGGGAGAATAGGGAGAGAGAGGGGGAAGGGGAGAGGGAGAGGGAAAGGAAGAGAGAGAGAGAACGAAAGAGAGATGGAAACATAAGTGGGTAAGTGCGCGCACGCGCGCGTGTATGTGTGTGTCTGCATGTGTGTGTCTGTGTATTTAGGCCCTATCTGTGTCGCTACGAGTTTGTTTGTGTCTGCATGCGCGTGTGCGTGTATGCCTCCGCATGTCACGGACACAAAACACTGACGATCCACGTACGAAACCTAGGGGTAAAATAAATCAATAAAAATTCAACCAAACACCCACCTGCGTGAACTTCTGCTGCCAGGCCTCGAGCAACTGATTCGCCTTCTCCTGTGACCAGTCGACGTGGTGGACGCGGTAGTGCTGGTCGTAATACTCGTAAAGGTTCTTGGAGCCCATCAGCTGCACCATGCTCTGCAGGGCCTCCGCTCTGGGGGGAAGGAGAGGGCCAGTTTAGAATTTGAGAGAGAGAGGGAGGGAAAGGGAGAGAGGGAAAGGGAAAGGGAAAGGGAAAGGGAGAGAGGGAGAGAGAGAGACAGAAGAGAGAGAAGAGAGAGAAGAGTGAGAGAGAGAGAGAGAGAGAGAGAGAGAGAGAGAGAGAGAGAGAGAGAGAGAGAGAGAGAGAGAGAGAGAGAGAGAGAGAGAGAAGAGAGATAGCGAGTGATAGAGATGGAGATGGAAAGAGAGAGAGACAGACGGACAAGCCAAAAGAAACCACGTCAACTAATCCAAACCATTTAAAAAATCACTTAATCATAAAATGGAAGCAAACAAAGCAAGCGAGACCGGCAACCCACCTGACGATGTGTCCCGTCTTGTTGGTCTGCGTCCCGCCCACGATCAGGTCCTCCGGCCAGTGCATGAACTTCCCGGCATATCCGTAGCACCCGCCCGTCAGCTCAGCGCCTACGTCAGGCACCTGAGGGAGGAGAGGTACACATACTATTACGAAAAGAAATCCCCGATACGATACCATATGGGCAATGGGTATCTAAAAGTTGAAGCGTTAATCATATATCCATAAATTATAGTATGCAAACAAACACGCGCATGTGGGCGTGCGATAAGTGTAGGCAAAGCGCGCGGGCGGCTTCCTGAAAGGCTTCCGTCGCCGGCCAAGGTGCGGGCAAGGCGGCCAAGGCGTGGCGGACAGGGACTAGGGCAGAGTACAATGAAACTCTTGCTGGTGTAGATGCTATCTGCAGGAGGCAGGGTCGGGGTGAAGGCTATGGTGCCACTCCCCCCCTCCCCCGCCCCGCCTCCCTCGCCCTTGCGCTCTGTGCTGCATTCCTCTCTGCACGTCCCCTCGGCTCTCCGGGGACAGCCGAGATCATATACATACATGCATTAACACACACGCGCACACACACACACACACACACACACACACACACACACACACACACACACACACACACACACACACACACACTTGCTCATAATATATACAAACAGAAGCGGCTGTTTGCTATCTCTCTAATTACGCTTGATTCAAAGGTACCTGTTTGGAGTGCTTGTTGGGGGCAGTTTCCGGACACTCGGGGTCGGTCGGGTCGAGACAGGGCTTCTCTTGGTAAGCCGTTGTGATCCCAGCCTGGAACAGAAAATTGAAGGATTGGTCTAACGTTATTAGTAACACAAATCGCTCGGCGTGCAAAGAAATGTTATGTGTGACTTTCTTACCTTACTTTCTTGAATAACGATTTAGGGTAAATAAAAAAAATACATTCCCCTCCCCCCCACCACCTCCCCTCCCCCCGTTTCTCCCTGCGTATGTACACCCTGGTCCCCTGGCCGCATGCATGCCATTCGCACGTTAGTAGCGGGCGGGGTTGTCTGTAGTGCGAATTACAGTTTATCAGTTTAGCTATGGCCCGTCCGGTAACCTGCTGTGGGACCTGCAGGACCTGCGTCTCGGGTTACAGGTCACACGCACGCCTGGCCACCCACGTCCCGAGGTAATGAAGGAGATGGCACAAAAGCTCCACCATGCAAGGAGCTCCGTAGAGCTGCAAGAGTCCCCCTGTGTTGCCCCTGACGCAACCGTGGTCGTGTTACGTGCCGCAGGCGACGCTCCCGGGCTTGCGGCCGTGTAAGTTTAGCCGCAATTAAACGGTGAGGCCTCGCAGTGCAGCGGCGGTCGGCTCGGATGACGGGTGACAGAAGGTGACCACAGGGCGGCCATGTTACTTACTTCCTCCCCCTCCCCAACTTCAATCTCTTCCTCGGCAATAGCTTCCTTTGCTCCTCGCCTCCTCGGGTCCCGCAGCAGCCCCGAAAATTCCTCTCAGCGTCCGCGCCCTCGAGAGCGCTCTTGAGCAGCAGCGCGGGCGTCGGGCGGGAGCGCTCCTCGCCTCCCTTCCCGATGCACCGGCTACCGAAGAAACCCGATCGCGGTCTCCCTCGACACTCTAAACGGTAAAACCACAACCCGCCCGCCCGGGACCACCAACATCCACTACCCGCTTGCCAAGCCGATCACCCGCGCCCCTTTTACGCCCGTTCGCGTCGCACGTCCGTCCGTCGCGCTGTCTGTAGGGCGCGAGGAGCAATAAGGAGGAGGACATCCTACGCACGCCCGCGCCCCATCAATCGCTCCTGCGCCACCAGATGAGGGACCAGGACGCCCACCTTAGCGCAGGAGGCGGGGAGGGTGGAGATGAAGGGGGCGAGCGTGGGGCGAGAGGCGCTCCGATGTTCGAGTCCCCTTGGCGAGCGGCTCAAATAACACGGCGGCCACAAGACCGAACTTTAATTACAGATATTGACTCTTCTCCGTCAGTTGGGATGATTGCCCGATGCCCTTCTAACAAATGCACGGGAGTTTTATTGCTATATTAAGAGCAGCCCCTCGCGGGCGATAAGGAGTGAGTCACCCGCCGCAGTCGCTGCAGTAGCCCCCCCCCTACCCAACCCCACCAGCTCCTTGACCTCCCCCCTCCTAGGAGCACCCGAGGACCGGTAGTCGCACATGTGTTTGTGTGTTCAGACTATTAAGTAATTAGGTAATTAAGCCCTCGTTCGTGCAACATATGTCGTGGTGTCCGTTGCAGAATCTTTGACGTGTACATTGCACATTATCTTGCCGTGGCCGGGCTGGAACAAAGGCCCTCTCCGTCGTGAGCCATGACAAGACGTGCCTACTGGGGACGTGCCGGGGAGGACGGGGGGAGGGGGCAATGCTTATGCAGGGAACAATACTGAAATAGCGCATGGTGGATTTTAAAATGCCCTCCCTCCCCCTAGCTCTTCTTTTCTGACGACATCGATCATACCAAAGCCTTGGCCAGGTCAAGACCACCCAGCGCCAGTCGTCCCTCATGTCAGGTCAAACGCGGTGCCACTTGACCTGGCTCGAGGGGCCCGTCACGCTCGGGTCACGCTGTCTCAATGTTCTGGCTCAGAGCTCGCGGGAACATCTCCCTGGTCCACGAGGCATTAAGGTCGATTTTTTCCTCTTTGTGTGAGCGGTAGATTTATGAGAGTAAAAAAACCATGTGAATTATTTTTATTCCCCATCATATACAAACTTACAGTAAAAATCATAACAATGATGATAATAATAATAATGAAATAATAATAATATTAATAGTGATACCAATACCAAAAACAATAATAATCACAACACCAGCAGTACTACTACTAATAATAATAGTGAATGTTAAAAACGGGAGCGATAAACTAAACGTGATTTATTTTCGTTATCGATATTTCCTGCTTTACGCTTGTTGTCACTTTTTCAAACTACATTTTTTAAGACCCATTAACTAACCGGCCCACAAGCTCACACGACCCCATGACCCTGGCGCTGTACAAACATGAGAAACCAGCTAAGGTCGCCCCTGTCACAGGTCACATACCTTGACATATGTGGGTCGGGTCACACGCCCCACAGGTCGCCTCGCCTGACCACACAACTCCCACATTTTCCCACATGTAACTACCCAGCTAACAGAAGGCAAGGTGAATATTCTCCTATGTATGACTTATACTGTCTTGGTGTATCGATTGATATAATAAGATAATAGAACTTTCCAAAATAAATTATATATTGTTAGGCCATTTCCAAAGTCCTTCTTCGCTATATAATCACAACCAAACTGGCGTAACCACCATCTAAAGAAAATCCACTAACAAAGGAGAGAGAGAAAAAAAACGAAAAAAAAATAAAAACCCATAATCTATAAACGAAAATCCAAACCTCTTTCGCCTCCACTTACCCGTTTCATGAAGTCAGCGAAGTAGGAGAGAGAGAAGCCATGTTCGTATCCCTCGTAACTCTCGATTTCCCTGATTCTGTTGACGATCTTCTGCGGGTTGAGGTTCGTCCATCTGATGTCAGGGCCCAGCACTCTGTCGGGAAGGGAGGGAGGCAAGGCGTTAGAGAGAGAGAGCGAGTCAGGTCAAATAGGTTGAAGATGCCTTAATTTTCTAGCACAGTAGCTCCATCCGTCATGTCACCGGCATTTGGTAAACTTCTTCGTTCACAACAATTCGGAGGGAAAAAAAAGAGAGAATGGAAGAGAAAACGCGCTCTCTTAAAGCATGTAACACATCATCGTCAAAGTTAAATGCATATGTATATCCCCTGCTTAACATCCTTTGTTGGGCTACGCTAATATAACGAACGACTCCATTCACTGCACCAGGTTATGGAAATCAGCCTTATAAACAACGTTCGCAATATAAAGGAAGTAATGAGAGAGCAAGCGCTGTAAGAATGGCCGAGTCCATGCCGGCAGAGCAGTCCCGGCCGGCTTGGCCACATGGACCACACTATACAGCACCACATGACATGAGGCGCACTATATCAGGCGCGGGTGAGCCAACGACAAGCTTGTTACCGCTCCATTATTACTAATAACTCAATTTCAACATTCCAATAGAAAGACGTAATGGGCGCACAGTCTCGAGAATGCAGAGCGAAAAGGAGACGCAGATAAAAACGGAGATAACCGATGGAACAGACGGAGGGAGAGCTGATAATCAAGAGATAGAAGGCGCCAAACAAGGAGAGAGTGAGGAAGCGAGCCCAAACAAAGGCTAAAACATTAGGGATGCCGCGTGGTATGAATAGAAGGAAATTAGGAGAATGCCCACACAAAGAGCGGCAAGATTTTCCATGTCATTCCTCCATTGTGCGAACCAAAGACTGATAGGCGTTATCGGCAAGGCGTAGCGGCGGGGCTTTGATAATTATCGTAACCAGGTGGGGGAGGGGGCATGGGAGGGGGTTCTGGGTGCCCATACGACGTGGGGCGGCGAAGGCCCAGCGAAGACTACGGGCCCGGGAGTGGCACGATGAACGCATTGGCCCAAATCCGCTTCATTGTACTCTTCGTGCACTGGAAAGAATAACATCTTTCGGTTTTATGATTACTTAAGAGAAGCAGCGGCATGCAATGTCTCGTTTCGTATTAAGATGAAAAGCAAGAGGCCATAGCGTTCGGAATTCTCGCCCATCTCCGTAGCTGGACTGCACCTAAATGACTCTCTTCCTAGACTACGCCCGCCGTCTCCCCTCGCGACACTCTCAGCGTCCCCTCGGCACACCCACCCCTCTCCCCGCCACACTCGCCTCCCTGCGCCGCCCCTTCGCTGCCCACGCCCGCGTCCAGAGGTCAAGGGTCTGGCCAGATGACGGGAACAAATGGGCGACCACGAGCCTAGCTTGGCTGGGCCGATCGCCATGACGCCCACACAATGTTGGGCGCCCACCCATTCCATGCCCGCGCCCTCCTACACCAACCCCTTCCCGTCCCCACCATCGATAAGGAATCGCCCGAGTCGGCCTTCTGCGTGTGCTGCCCCGCCTTCGGAGCGTTGGGGCGAGGGGTACCAGCGGCAAAAAAAGGAGGGGAGGGGGAGATGAAAGTACCAAAATACCAAAGAGATCTTCAGGAAATACCACATGCCAACGCTCCAGTTACGAAATCGCCAACAGCCTACAGAGAACAATGCCCGACAGTGCCTAAACGACCGGACTCTGATAGGGCACCCATTTTCCTTTGCAAGTGGTGCCATCTGGATTCCTGGAAGACGACCCATAAAGGTGACCGGATTCGTAGCGCCACGACCCCGAACGCCCATTGCGACGACCGACCCCCGGAGTCTCTGGGTGGATGCGGAACAGCAGACGAAGAGGGAAGTGTGGAAGCAAAAAATAGAGAAAAAGATGGGAAGTAGGGAAAAGAATGGAGGGAGGGAAGGAAGGGGGGAAGGAGCATAAGGGAAGAAAGGGAGGGAAAAAGGTCAGAGGAAAAGAAGGGATGAAAAGAAGGAAAAAAAAGAAGTAAGGAAGGAAAAACTAATGCGGTTTTCCAATCACTGAACCAATCACATCGAGGAAACAACAACAATACTAATGATATTAATAGCAGAAGTAATTACTGAAAATGAAGCTATAGACGCGCTATAGATAAAGACAATGATAAAACAGACAAACACGAAAGTCGCAAAAAGAAACTTAGGCGCCATTTCCCGGAAAAGGGAAATAAGAAGCCCCGACTCAAAAGAGGCAGGAAGAGGAAGAGGAAGAGGAAGAGGGAGGGAGGGAGGGAGAGATGGAGAGAGGGAGAGAGAGAGAGAGACAAGAAGAGAGAGAGAAGAAGAAGAGAGAAGAAGAGAGAGAAAGAGAGAGAGAGAGAGAGAGAGAGAGAGAGAGAGAGAGAGAGAGAGAGAGAGAGAGAGAGAGAGAGAGAGAGAGAGAGAGAGAAAGAGAGAGAGAAAGAGAGAGAGAGAAAGAGAGAGAGAGAGAGAGAGAGAGAGAGAGAGAGAGAGAGAGAGAGAGAGAGAGAGAGAGAGAGAGAGAGAGAGAGAGAGAGAGAGAAGGACAGGACCACCGAGGACGACGAGAGACACGAAGCAGAGACAAAGGGAAGCCACCGTCAGGGAGTCGGGAAAACAGGTCCTGAAGACACGATGATTAATTGTAAACGATTACCGAGTCTCCCTCACAACCGGACCACAGGAAGAGGAATAAGAACAAACAAGAAGAAAGAGGAATAAGGACAAACAAGAAGAAAGAGGAATAAGGACAAACAAGAAGAGGAAAGAGGAATAAGGACAGACAAGAAGAAAGAGGAATAAGGACAAACAAGAAGAAGAAAGAGGAATAAGGACAAACAAGAAGAAAGGGGAATAAGGACAAACAAGAAGAAAGGGGAATAAGGACAAACAAGAAGAAAGAGGAATAAGGACAAACAAGAAGAAAGAGGAATAAGGACAAACAAGAAGAAAGGGGAATAAGGACAAACAAGAAGAAAGAGGAATAAGGACAAACAAGAAGAAAGGGGAATAAGGACAAACAAGAAGAAAGAGGAATAAGGACAAACAAGAAGAAAGGGGAATAAGGACAAACAAGAAGAAAGGGGAATAAGGACAAACAAGAAGAAAGGGGAATAAGGACAAACAAGAAGAAAGAGGAATAAGGACAAACAAGAAGAAAGGGGAATAAGGACAAACAAGAAGAAAGGGGAATAAGGACAAACAAGAAGAGGAAAGAGGAATAAGGACAAACAAGAAGAAAGAGGAAAAGGAAAAAAGAAGAAAGAGGAATAAGGACAAACAAGAAAAAAGAGGAATAAGGACAAACAAGAAGAGGGAAGAGGAAAAGGAAAAAAAGAAGGAAGAGGAAAAGGAAAAAAAAGAAAGAGGAAAAGGAAAAAAGAGAAAGGAGGAAAATAATTATCAAGAAAGAAGAATTACAAGGAAGGAGAGGAGAAAAGATTAAGCAAGATGAAAGAAAGGGGGGGGGGGCGGACATGATATAAATTTAAATATAAAGAGGTTGGAAGAAAGATGAGAAGATGGAAGAAAAAAAAAGAGAAGAGGACAAGGGGGAAAGAAGACGAATGAGAAGCGAA